ACAAACACTGTGGGACACAATTACTTTGCAATGCTTGAGTTTGGCTTTGGGTGGTGAATAGAATTGGAAATCAGGAGGAAGACAGGGATCTCAAAGGCATCTTGTGAGAATGCACATGTTGTATGCAAATTTCTGCATTGGTTTGGGACTGGAGGTTTAATGACATCTCTATGGGTCTGAGATCTTCACAAATAAGAATTATAAAACCCACCTCTTTCTGACTTCATTCACATGGTTTTAACTATATAAAGTCATCATTCCAACTGATGTCAATTCTGGATGTAGAAATGTTATCTACATCTTTTTTAAGACTGGAACTCATGACCAGAATCCCCAAAGCTTCCTCTCCTTCTGTGCAAGTGATTTTTCCCAGCTTTCCATGAGAAACCATCACCCCTTTGTCTTGTTCCATTTTAGCAACATTCTCTTATTTTTTTTTAAAGGCAGAGTGGACAGTGAGAGAGAGAGAGAGAGACAGAGAGAAAGGTCTTTCTTTTGCCATTGGTTCACCTTCCAAAGGCCGCCGCGGCCAGCTCCCGGCGTTGATCTGAAGCCAGGAGCCAGGTGCTTCTCCTGGTCTCCCATGTGGGTGCAGGGCCCAAACACTTGGGCCATCCTCCACTGCCCTCCCTGGCCATAGCAGAGTGCTGGCCTGGAAGAGGGGCAACAAGGACAGAATCCAGCACCCCAACCGGGACTAGAACCTGGTGTTACTGGCGCCGCTAGGCGGAGGATTAACCTATTGAGCCGGCAGTGCCCGCCAGCAACATCCTCTTATTAAAAAAACAAAGGACTAAGTGTGTTCTATTAGAGGAGAAGAAAACTGGCCCTCCAAATGAAATATATGTATTTTATACATTTTCACTGGCAATGAAACTAGGCAGAAAAATCAATTTTAATGAACATTTTCTGGGCATTTCTGGGTCATTTTGACTGACTTTTGTTTAAGAGCTGGAAAGAAATGTTGGCAGACACAAAGTGACACATAAATTCATTTTTTATAAATAATTTTAGAAATGCTGCACAAACTTTCATCTTTACTAAGATAAATTCCCCATAAAACAATTTTATACTACCTGATATCCTGGCTGTCCAAGCAATAGATTTGTATGAGCAGTGAGTGGCTTATTAGCAATGCCACCATGTACTTTACTATCCCTTAAGTATCCCTTTTGGAAAGAGAATTTTTCAAATAAATTTATCCAGAGGAAAAATTGTCTGAAAGAAACTTTAAAGCGTATATGTATGGTATCCACTGAAATCTAAATCTGAGCACTTTACGATGCTGTCTGTGGTCTTTTAATGAAAACACAGAAGTTACAACACACAGAATTCAAATCCATTAATTAGCCTAAACTATGTGCCTACTTTTCTGTATAAATGGTAATATCTCTCAGTCTGTTGTAATCATTTAATCTAGAGGACATTCTAATCCCAGCTCCCGTATCATATGGGAGTCCATGCAGCTCCACTTTCAATTCAGGTCTGGGAAGAACGGTAGAAGATGGCCCAAGTATTTGGGCCTCTGCCCTTCATCTACAGACCGGGAAGATGCTCCTGGTTTTGATCTGGCCAAGCCCTGGCTCTTGTGGCTATTTGGGGAGTGAACCAGTGGATGGACAATCTCTCTGTGTGTGTATGTATGTGTCTTTCTCTTTCTGTAATATTGTCATGCAAGTAAATAAACCTTTTATTAAAAAAAAGAACAAATTTTCAGTTCTGTAAAGTATAAGACCAAGGTAAGAATTTTTCATAATAGTTGTAGAAGACTGTTTTTTTTTTCATTGATGTTACATAATATAGAACCAGATATGTATCTAACTGTCATACAGACACATAAATTCCTTTATATTCAAGCTTTGCTTTTAAAAGTTGCCTTATTTTGGCTGGCACCGCAGCTCACTTGGCTAATCCTCCGCCTGCGGTGCCAGCACCCTGGGTTCTAGTCCCAGTTGGAGCGCCGGATTCTGTCCCTGCTGTAGCCCGGGAAGGCAGTGGAGGATGGCCCAAGTGCCTGGGCCCTGCACCCACGTGGGAGACCAGGAGGAAGCACCTGGCTTCTGGCTTCAGATTGGCGTAGTGCTCCGGCCGTATCGGCCATTTGGAGGGTGAACCAACGGAAGGAAGACCTTTCTCTCTGTCTCTCTCTCTCACTAACTCTGCCTGTCAAAAAGAAAAAAAAAAGTTGCCTTATTTTAGAATGGGCCATAAAAGAAGGAGGTACCTTTCTCTGAAGGGAAGAGAGAACTTCCACTTTGACTATGGCCTTGTCTGAACAAGACCAGAGTTGGTGAACTCAAGAGGCTTACTTAGCCTTGACAGCTCATGACAAGAGACTCGGGTGATTACTTACTTCAAAAATAAGAGTGTCAATTGTTAAATCAACAACAGGAGTCACTGTGCACCTACTCCCCATGTAGGATCTCTGTCCTTAATGTGCTGTACATTGTGAATTAATGGTAAAACTACTGCTCAAACAGTACTCTGTGCTTTGTGTGTCTGTGTGGGTGCAGTCTGTTGAAATCTTTACTAAATACATACTAAATTGATCTTCTGTATATAGAGATAATTGAAAGTGAATCCTGATGAAGAATGGGATGGGAGAGGGAGTAGGAGATGGGAGGGCTGCAGGTGGGAGAGAGGTTATGGGGAAAAACCACTATAATCCAAAAGTTGTTCTTCGCAAATTTAAATTTATTAAATAAGAGTTGAAAAAAAAGTTGCCTTATTTTAACATTGAGAAGATACAAAATACTATATATTGTCATTTTTAAAGGACGTTTAGGCCTGATTCCAACCTACTTTCCTGCCTCTTCTGAGGTAGTGATGGTAAATTTTGCAATTTTCACTTTTTTATTTTTTAAAGATTTATTTATTTAGGGTTTTTTTTTTTTTTTCCAGAGTGTCTTGGCTTTCCATGCCTGAAATACTCTCATGGGCTTTTCAGCCAGATCCGAATGCCTCTAGGGCTGATTCTGAGGCCAGAGTGCTGTTTAGGACATCCGCCATTCTATGAGTCTGCTGAGTATCTCGCTTCCCATGTTGGATCACTCTCCCCTTTATTTATTCTATCAGTTAGTATTAGCAGGTACTAGACTTGTTTATGTGCTTCCTTTGACTCTTAGTCCTTTCATTATGATCAATTGTGAACTGAAATTGATCACTTGGACTGGTGAGATGGCATTGGTGCATGCCACCTTGATGGGATTATATTGCAGTCCCCTGGTATGTTTCTAACTCTACCATTTGGGGCAAGTCAGCTTGAGCATGTCCCAAATTGTACATCTCTTCCCTCTCTTATTCCTACTCTTATATTTAACAGGGATCACCTTTCAGTTAAATTTCAACACTTAAGAATAACTGTGTATTAATTACAGAATTAAACCAGTCATATTAAGTAGAACAAAAAAAAAAAAAACCCTAAATGAAAGATCTCTGTGAGTGAGATCCCAGTGGAAAGAACAGGTCTTCAAAGAAGGAGGTACCTTTCTCTGAAGGGAAGAGAGAACCTCCACTTTGAATATGACCTTGTCTAAACAAGATAAGAGTCGGTGAACTCAAAAGGCTTCCATAGCCTTGGAAACTCATGACTGGTGCATAGGGAGATTACTGATGCCATAAACAGGAGTGTCAATTGGTAAAGTCAACAACAGGAGTCACTGTGCACTTACTCCTCATGTAGGATCTCTGTCCTTAATGTGCTGTACATTGAGACTTAATGCTATAATGAGTACTCAAACAGTATATTTCGCTTTGTGTTTCTATGGGGGTGCAAACTGTTGAAATCTTTACTTAATGTATACTAAACTGATCTTCTGTAAAAAAAAAAAAAAAAGAAGAAGAAATTATCAATTCCCAACTTGACTCTCGCTGGGATTAAACATGACAATAGGTCTGATCTGATTTCATCATCATTTAAAAAATCATCTATTATTTTTCACTTTATGTTTGTGTGGGAGCAAACTGTTGAAATCTTAATGTATGCTAAACTGATCTTCTGTATATAAAGAGAATCGAAAATGAATCCTCATGTGAATGGAAGGGGAGAGGGAGTGGGAAAGGGGAGGGATGCGGGTGGGAGAGACAATATGGGGGGGAAGCCATTGTAATCCATAAGCTGTACTTTGGAAATTTATATTCATTAAATAAAAGTTAAAAAAATCAAAAAAAAGATTTATTTATTTACTTGATAGGCAGAGTAACAGAGAGAGAGGGAGAGAAAAAGAAATATTTCTTCTGCTGGTTCACTCCTCAAATGGTTACAATGGCCTGGGCTGGGCTAGGTCAGGCCAAGGCCAGAAGCCAGGAACAGCAACCCATCTCCTGTGGATTTTTTCTGAGGAGGAGTACGGTGCAGGCAAGAGGTGCGGAGTCACCACATGGGTGAAAGCAGGCCAGAGGCCAGAAACCCACAGACTCATTTATTTCAGTTGGTACAGCAGCTTATATAGCCAAGGCAGAGAATCTGGTCATGGGATTGTCTATGCCCTAACCAATCACAGCCTGTTGCCAGGCAGGCTCCTTTGCCATGTGAATCCTGAAGCCATCCAATCACAGCCTGTTGCCAGGCAGGCTCTGTTGCCAGTGGCCATCTTGGCATGGCTTTCTCATTCCACCACAGTCTCCTGCGTAGGTGGTACTTGGACCATCTTCCACTGCTCTCCCAAGCACATTAACAGTGAACTAGATTGGAAGCAGAGCAGCCTGAATTGAACTCAACTATCTATATGTGATTTCAGCATCACAGGCAGAGGTTTATCTACCCCACCACACCACAATGCCACCCCAGTGTTGTTTTTTTTTTTTTTGTAGTATTGGCAAATATGTGAGCACCCCTAAATACTTTTTTAATTGTATGTATCTTTAACATTATAAACAGAGAATCATAAAGGCATTCTGCAACATGCCTTTGTCTTTTGACCAAGCATTCTTTCTCGGGTTTTTGCCTTTGGTATTTACAGTCATAATGCATAGATTTTTTTCACTTCTAATTTATTTACCTTTTCTCCTTTTCCTCTATTGCTTCTAGAAAATGGAATATTATCTTCATTTTTCAGTTGTCCCCTAGTGCACATATGGAATAGATCCTCTAAAGGTAAATAGCTGAGATTGGAATTGCTCTTTGAGTACACGTTTGTTTTTACTTTGGGTTCAATGCAAATTCAGTGGCAGTTCCTGGGAAGCAGTCCCTGAAAGAAGGAATCAGGTATGAACACGTTATTTGGGGAAGATCCCAGAAAGAAGCAAGAAGGAGGAGCCCAGAAGGAAGGGAGTGCAGGCAAAATGGGTGAATTTTCAACAAAGTTATCAGCGCAGGTGACTGGTGTTTAACTCAAAGAAATTGTCATAAACAATGAAGAATGTGGTTGGGCCTCAGTGGGACCTAGCACTAAGTAAGAGGGAGCTGGAATGTCTACACATGAACTCTTCTCTCTCTGATAAAGAGCTCTTCCTAGGGCCGTGAATTCTGCAGCCCTGCTGTTTGGACCTGCATGCATGCCTGGATAAAGTATAAGTACTGCCTTAGAAAAATATGCAGATTTTAATAGCTGAGAGACAAACATAATCATGCCATATTGGTGAGACCAGAGAAGATGGAACAAAAATATCACCTAAGGGGCCAGCCCTGTGGCATAGCCAGTGAAGTCTCCACCTGCAGTGCCGGCATCCCATATGGGTGCCGGTTCAAGTCCTGGCTGCTTCACTTCCAATTCAGTTCTCTGCTAAGACCTGGGAAAGCAGTGGAAGATGGCCCAAGTTCTTTGGCCCCTTCACCCACAGTGGGGACCTGGAAGAAGCTCCAGGCTCCTGGCTTCTGGCTTCGGATCAGTGCATATCCGGCCATTGCAGACACCTGGGGAGGAAACCAGCAGATGGAAGACCTCTCTCTCTCTCTCTTTGCCTCTCTGAAACTCTGGCTTTCAAATAAATAAGTTAATCTTCAAAGACATCATCTAAGTGTTAATTTTCTGTTTCTCCAAAGCATTGTAGGAAGTAACCTGTTAAAAATACTCAGATGATATTCAGGTTATATTACATAGATTCCAACAATCGATACTATCAGACTGTTTCTCTGCTCTCGGTTTCTTAGAATCAAACGGTATCCAAGCCCATTTTCATGTAAACTTCTATTAGATTCACAAGTATAGGCAACATTTTCAAGAATCTTTTTGTGCACAAAAAAAGAAAAGCAATGGAGCAGGCGAAAAGGCCCAAGGAAGATATGTAAAGGCATTTTAAAAATTAATAGGAATAAGCAGCAGTAGATCTGTGTGCATTCAGAATAATCTAGTAAAGTGAGAAAATTTATGATGCAAGTACAATAAAAGACTTGAAAAAATCTCTTGATAAGTTAAAAAGGTGGGCTCTGCTGCACCAGCAGAGGTTGTGTCCTTAGCTGGGGACATGGACTATGCGTCTGCAGCACCAGGAGGGTGATGCTACAGATTCCCTACTCACGTTATTCCGGCCTTGACTTTCCTTTTGGTAAAGTGCTTCAGAAAGATTTCAACCCATGACCAATTCAAAGTTAGCTGTTATCCATTTCTTCTTGAGAATGCTTTGCTGATTTTTTGCTTTCAAGGCATTTATTCATTTCAGGCTTTAAATTTATTGACCTAAATTTTTTTCACCATTATTATTTTTTAATATCTCTAGAATATGTTATGGTGCCACATACATCTTTTCTAACTTAATTTGTATGTTCTCATACTCTGGTGAGGGATTTATAGATGAATTAATATTCTCAAAAAACTGGTTTTCTTCTTCACTGCTTTTTATCCATTGTTTTTCATTAATTCACCTTGGATTTTTTTAATTTCTTTTTTCCTTACTTTTATTTAATTTGATTTTCCTTTCTTAGTTGCTTGAGGTTGGATTTGAAGTCCTTGAGTTTAGATACTGCTTCTATAATAATATGGGCAGTTAGTGTTATGAGTTCATCTATTGCAAGTGCTATAGCTGATTCTTGAAAATTTTGCTATGTTGTTTTCATTTTCATTAAATACAGAATACTTTTTAATATTTACTTCAACTTCTTTACTGACTCATGACTATTTAGAAATGTGTTGGTTCCAAGTATTTGTGTATTTATAGGTCCATTTCTATTATTGATTTTTTTTATTTCTGGCTCCATTTTGTTTAGAATATTATAACTTTGAAATTTATAGGGTCTTTAATAACATCTTGATTACAAGAAATCCTTATAAATGTTCTATGTACACTTGAAAGGAATGTGTACTCCACTGTATGTGTGTGTGTATATATATATATATATATCCTGTGTACATAGAGGCTAATTAGCTCAAGTTTTTTGAAGCTGTGGTTCAAGTTTTCAATATCCTTCTTGGTTTTGTGTTCATATTTCTATCAATTATTCAGAGGAAATTTAAAATTTCCAGCTATGAAAATTTCTAGTTTTATTTCTCCTGCAGTTTTACTACTCTTGTTTCATGTACCTGGAGGATCTCCTGTTACACTTTTAAACATTAGTATGTCCTCTAAATTGAATGATCCTTTATCATTATGAATATATTCTCCTTGTTCTTGATAATATTTTTGCTCTGAAAAATCTTTTTTGAATATTAATATAGCCAACCCAGCTATCTTTTGATCCTTGATCAGTGGCAGCATGGTATACCGTTTTCGATTTTTCAGTAGTGCAAGGTTAAAACTTTCCCTGTACTTCTGTGTTCCTGAGAACCCCTGGCTTTCCAAGTCACAAAAATTGATATGCTAAGAGGATAGAGCTCATTTTCATCTCATTTCCATGGAAACATTTGCTCTTTACCAGCTATGAGTATTAAACCCACAACCATACACTTTCTTTACTGTAGAAGCACTTATTCTTAACCAAACATTCAATATCCGGCAAATAAAAATCTACCCACAACCAAACAATACCCCCATACACACCCATACACAGACACACACACACAGACACACACACACACACACATACACCCCTTTTCTTAACTTTCCTGGAGCCTATTTGTCTTTTACTGTACAAAGGCCACAATATAAGATCACTTTGCATGCTAATCTGATGTAAGAATGACTGATTCCTTTAATACTTATATTTAAAAGTAACATCCAAAATTTACTTTAAAATTCCTATAAATGAGGACAGGATATTACACACTTTAACCATTTACATGAAATTCCAGAGTTCAGAACATATACTTCAAGTGGATCCTACAGACTCCAAAAGAATAATCCATCTTATGTGAAAATCACCATAGATAATTGAGCCCTAGGCTGCTCGTAATTTTATAAATTTGGAAAAAATATTTATCTAGCATTTACTGACTCAGTTACAAAAATCTAGGACGAATAGACTAAAGGAAACTTTAACAAACTAATACTAAAATATTCTAGATATAAATAATTTTGCATCAAGTTTCTGTATATATTATATCACATATATGTATTATACACATCATGTATATGTGTAATATATGTTATATATATAAAAAAGAAATCAAGTACAATATTCCAGAACACATTTCTTAAAACAAATCAAGTAAAAGTAAACTCACCTAAGAGCCATGTCCCCAGGAATTGTTGCATATCCCAGAATCCAAGGTTTCTTATCTCCAGGAACACATAGCAATGGATTTGTCATTCTCTAGGGGCAAATATATTTGATAAGTGCTTCTATTAATTGATTCCACAAATTAACTACTAATCCAGAGCTTTTGATTATGAGTACTGCTAATCAATTTCCTTGATAGCAAGTTTTCAGCAGTTTGTAAATTAAAAATTACCTACATTTTTCTGGGTTGGCTTAATTAACAGATCTATCCTGGTTGTGAAATAGTAAGATCTTCACTTTTAATTTCCTCTTGACCTGTTTTCTGTCTCCACAGGGTCTCCTTTAGAGGTTCCTCAGAAAGAGAAAATTAAAAAGCTGTCAACAGATTAAAACACTGTTTAACCCAGAGGAATTTTTTTTTCGGGGTCTGCATATAACGTGGAGACATTTTAAGACTGCTTTCATGGGGAGAAATCTCAGTTAGCCAGGCTGGGCCTCACTATTCTGTGTAGACAGATATTGTCTCCTGGGCTGGGGTACCATGTTGACATTGAATTATCTGTTACAGAACCAAAGCGCATGTGAGCAATTAGCGGACTCCCCAGTTCTTTGTCCTCATGGTCATTTATCTTTAGGTGCATGGAGAGCACAGCAAGAACAAAATATTAACATCCTACATTATTATTTCATTTTTCTGAGTCTTGACTTTAGTAGGAATGAGATGTTTGAGACCAGGAATTGGGGATCTGTAGCTAACATTACATCCATCACATAGCTGACTGTACCTCATTCTGCTGCCACTTGAATTAGTACAGCCCAAGTGTTTATTTGTTGAGTGTGAGTGGCATTCAGAATGTACAATTTGTCAAGAAATATTCATAATTTTATTGCAATATTGCGAATGTTTATCTATGTTCACCATAGATATTAAATTTATACATAATTTTAGAGGGATGATTCTTGGGACCCTTGGGTCAAGCATTAAGAATCCTTACCAGAGATGTATCCCTAAAATATGAACCATAAAGATAAGTGCAGTTATTATAGGAAAAATTATCATAGGCCTTCTCTGGGTTATTCAGTAAAATGCTGCTTTAGGAGTTGCCATGAAGGGTTTTGCAGATGTCATTAAGTTCCCCAAATAGTTAAGTTTAAACTAAGGTGATAATTATGGGAGGTGAAACTAACCAGGAAAGACTTTAAAATGTCCCGAGATCTACCTGGTGAGAGAGATCCTCACAATAAGAGATTCATTCTGTGTAAGGGAGTCTCTTCACTGCTGAGTTATAAGAGAGAGAGGGCCCTGTGTCTCAGAAGGTTGTACACTAAAAACAAAATAACCTCCCAATGATATGTAGGAGAAAGATAAGGACCTAAGCCCTACCTACCATTGATGGAAACTGGGTTCTCGCAAAACATAAATGAACTTAGAAACACATTGTTTAATCAAACCTCCAAAACATAACACAACTCAAACAACATCTTTTATTTCAGCCTCCTTAACCCTTAGAAAAGAACCCAGTTGTACCTTATGCAAAATGCAGACCCAAAGATATGTGACCTAATAAGTGGACATTGATCGCATAAAATCAACAAATTTGTATCAATCTGCTCTGCAACAAGATAATCAACATCATATCTATTAGTTATCTTCCTGGAAAATTATCAAGCATGTTGATGTTAAACCTATTGTAAAACTTTTATACTTTTTAGCCTTGGGAGTGTCTCCTTTTGTTTCTTATTGCTGCTGTAAGCAACAAATTACTGGAAACTTAGTGTCTTACAACAACACAAATTTATTAGCTCACATTACTGTAGGTCAAGAGCGTGATAGAGGTCTGACCAGGCTAGAACTAAGCTGTCAACAAGGTTGCATTCTTTTTTTTGTCCTACAGTCTCTAAGGGAGTTCTTTTTACTTGTTCATTCCAATTGCTTGACAAATTCAGTTTGTTTGAAATTGTAGGACGAGGCCTCTCAGACCTGTAGGTCAGAAATCTCACAGGGGTTTCACAGGAAAAATTTAAGATGTTAGAAGGACTGTGTTCCTTTTTTGGAGGTTCTAGGAGAGTATCAGTGTCTTCATCTTTCCCAGCTTCTAGAGGCTACCATTTGCCTTGGCAAGTGGCCCCTTCCTACTTTGTACAGGCAGAACTGAATATAGATCAGTAACCTCCACCGCAGTGGGAGAATGAGGACATCCCGAAAGGGACTGTGAGTGAACAATGCAAGCAAGAGTTGGAGGAAAGACATGAAGTCACAGAGAAGTCTCAGGAGGAAGAATCTATTATGACACTTCATTTCAGGATTCTATACGACTTAGGGGTTGATTTAACAGAGTATGAAGGAAAGGAATGAGACCACAATTTGGGAAATTTATGTTGCCATTAACAATAAATAGGATCATAAAGGATAATAGATTTGTAAGGAGATGCATACATCTTTTTTTTCATTTTTGAAGTGATGCAAACCACCCATCGGACATTTGGATAAATAGTACATTTTGACATTAGAGAGGAATGGGCACAAATGACAATGCCCACATTTGTAAAAACTTGATGACACAAAAGCCATCTATTTGACTATAGTGACCACCCATTAGAATGTGAGGAATATTTTTAATAGTAAACTGCAGGGCTGTTATGTAAGAGGCAATTACACTTCTTCAGGATGGATCTGATTTTACATGTTCAATCGTGGACGCCAAAAGATAACTGTACTTCAGGAGAAAGTAGGAAGGTTCACAAACTTAGATGTACACCTGCATAGATTAAACATGGTAACATACTTAAATGGAATTAAGTATGATTAATATATATTTAGAAAAAATATTTTAAATTAGGCCTCAGCAGCTCTATTCTTTGTGGGGAGCAGCCCGGACTGGACTGAGTTACTGGAATTAAGACTTATTCTATGCATCTGCTCTCCCACAATATGGCGCTGTGTGGGGAGCAGCCCGGACTGGACTGAGTTACTGGAATTAAGACTTATTCTATGCATCTGCTCTCCCACAATATGGTGCTGGGAGAGAAGTAAACAGCTTCCGCACAGCTGCCTCCAGTTCAACCAATAAACTGTAGGACTTGCTCCTGATTGGAGAGCAGCGTACTCGGCGTGTGGGCAGCCGAGTTAGGATTGGCGGAGGAGGACTATAAAGGAGGAGAGAGACGGCATGCGCCAGGAACATCTATGGGGAACATCTGAGGGAACACCTGTGCAGCCCCCGAGAGAACCGGCCGGCGGTGTGCCGCTCCCCTGCGGAAGTGGGGAATGTGGCCAGGGGGAACTGCCCTTCCACGGAGGTGGAAGGGACAGTAGCCAACCCGGGAAGAACCAGCAGCAAACCCGGGGAGGGCCGAGCAGACGAAAGAACAGTGCAGGGTCCTGTGTCATTCCTCCACGAAGAGGGGGAGCAACATTCTTGATATGAAATATTGCATGCTTAGTGATCAAGAAATACAAAACACTAACCGAGTTTTCTGCAGGTTCAGTACAACAGTATATATAGAAAGACAAGATAACTTCATTATTTTAATTGTTCCCAATATTAGTATCAAGATATTTTTTGTGTGAATAAATGTATCTGGCCCCAAATATAGCCATGTGGTATGGCACAAAGACAGATTTGTATTTTATGAAATAATGATGAAGGATGTTGCTTTAAAAGTACAGACTGGGGCTGGTCCTGTGGCACAGTGGGTTAACACTCTGGCCTGAAGTGCTGGCATCCCATATGGGCGCCAGTTTGAGACCTGGCTGTCCCACTTCTGATCCAGCTCTCTGCTATGGCCCGGGAGGGCACTAGAAGATGGTCCAAGTCCTTGGGACTCTGCACTCACGCGGAAGACCGGAAAGAAGCTCTTGGCTCCTGGCTTCGGATCAGCCCAGCTATGGCCATTGTGGCCATCTGAGGAGTGAACCCCAGGGGATGGAAGACCTCTCTCTCTCTCTGCCTCTCCTTTCTGTATATAACTCTGACTTTCAAATAAATAAATAAATCTTTGAAAAAAAGTACAGATCATCTATTGTTATTGTCCTTTATTAAGTTCTATGCTTTTACATTTAGCATAAGAAAAATCTTACGAATATATTTCTTCATGCACTCACTTGCTTGCAAGGAATCTGCAGAAATATTGCAAATATAATTAAAGCTAGATTTCTTTTAGAGTACTCAAAATATCCATTAAGATCAGGTCAAGTTTCTAACATTTCTTAAACTCCCTTTACCTGCTCTATCAAATTTGTAATAACACCATTTTATTTATCCGGAATTCATAATCTGAGACCACAGCATAGGAGATAGAATTATGGAAAAGCACTTCTATACTAATATTTCCATGATAAATGTGGAATGGACAACCAGGGATATGCAAGAAAAATGATGTTACAAATAATTGTCTTTAAATTATAGTTTGGTAGGCCACCTCATCTCAGTTCTTTTTTCAAATAATTTTATGTATAACATTATAAACTTATTCCTTACTTAAAAATATTCATTTCAGAAGTTCATTACCAGAAAGGATTCGAATATGAACTTGAAATTAATAAAAAAATAATTTTGAAATTAATAAAGGAAACCTTTAAAGATACTAACTCCAGGTTTTGAGCTGAAAATGATTTCATAGAAAAAAAAGTTTTCCCTTCTATCCTTTAATTTATTTAGGATAAGTTTATAGTGACTGTAAGAATATTAAACAGCTCCTCTTAAAATTTGCTCATACAGCATAGATGGGACAAACTGTTTTTTAATATGACACCAAGTATCTAACAGTGCAGAACGTGAGGAATTTTTGAGTTAAGATATATTTCATGGTGAAAAGTTTGCAGCTTATTCCCACTTTAGTGTGGAATTAGCTAAGTGATGATGGTGATGTGAGATGGTGGAGATGGAACCCCTTATGAATGCCAGCAGTAATTTTGCTGGCATTAAAGAAAAATATGTTAATAGAAAGAATGGCAGAAGGGTGAATATTCAAACTTTGGAATGTGTGTTGCTAAAAGTTCTCCCTAGATATGTTAGTCTACACTTGGAAACCCAACACTTATAAAAGTCAAAGTATAGAGGAAATGATCTAGGAAGATTAGAGTGTGTATTCAGAGGAAAGTTTGCTAGCAACTGAGACTATGGAGTCAACAGCAGGATTGAAGGAGCAACAGGATAAGCAAGACAGAAATATAAACGCATGGAAAAACACCTTGTAGTATGTGGGATTGAATAATTGGGTCATTGGAATAGGTAACATGTAGCTTGCTGCTATGTGACAGCCCTGCAGTGTGCAATAGATCTTAAAAAGAAGTCCTCAGTTCTTTCTCGGTTTACTTTCTGCCTATCCTTCAACAAGTGCTTTACCAGG